AATAAATTATTTATCCTTATATTCTTTTTATCATCAATTATTTATTATCATGTTTCTATTAAAGCATTTTTCATGCTTTTTACATCATTCTATATTTGAGGGAAGATTAATTAATATTTGTATTATTTCCATATATATAATTCAACACATTTCAATACTTGATTTGCATTCACAATATTACTAAATCTTCACTTATTATATTTCTTTCTAATAACAAAATCCATTTCATATTTCACAATAATCTAAAAGATTATTTAAAAGATTTATTGGGTTTGATAAAATTTTATTAGTCTCTCTTATATAGAGCATATCCAAAAATTTATCCTATCACATCCTGTATAAGACACATTCCTATAATCTCTATAAAGATACCTCAAGCATAGCATTAATTCATTTATTAATCCATTAGAATTTCTCACAGTTCATTCCTAATCAATTAAATTGTTGTTTTTTTAATTTCAATATTATACTATATGATCGACATAATGGATGCATGGAGGAATTTCATGCAAAAGAGTTTAATTTACAAATATTTAATTAAGGTTGCATAATTAAAAATATCATAGAAGGAAATTATTACAACATAATATTGAAATTACATAAACTATATACCTAACAAAATATAATCTACTCATTACTGTAAAATGGTTGCCCTAAATGAGATGGATTTGCAAAAAATATAGCATTTAAAAGTAAAATTAAATATTAATTTATTATTTCATAAATATATTTTCCAAACTAACACAATCAATATAATATTTGTAGTGATTCTAAATTTTCACCACAACATACATACATATATATATATATATATATATATATATCATTGCCAAATTATCCAAAATAAGATCGTATTAGTTTTTCTTAGTTATCGTTAATAAAAATGACTATATATCTTATTCTCTATTATAATCATCATCTACGTAACTCACTAAGTAATTTGAAGTCATTTTTTTAATTACTATCAACTCGGTTAACTAAGTATCAGAACATCCCTTTATGTTTTGTTAGTAAAGTCGATAACATCAATATCATTCTCTTAGCTACATTCAGACACATTAGATTAAGTATCAGAACATCTTATAAGTCTATCAAATAAATCAATTAATATTGATATTATTTTCTTAATTATTGTCAACACAATAAATTATGTACTACAACATCTTAAATGTGCGTCAATATATCAATTAATATTGATATCATTTCTTTAATTATTGTCAACATAATAAGCTAAGTACTAGAACATCTTATATGTGTGTCAATATATCAATTAATATTGATATCATTTTCTTAACTATTATCAACACAATAACCTAAGAACTAGAACATCTTATATGTGTGTTAATATATCAATTAATATTAATATCATTTCCCAGCTATCGTCAACACAGTAGACTAAGTGTTAGAATATCTTATATGTTTGTCAATATATCAATTAATAACGGTATGATTTCCTTAGCTACCATTAACATGGTACACTAGGTATCAGAATATATTATATATCTATCAATATATCGATATTATTTTCTTTGCTACCGTTAGCATGGTAGGCTAAGTTTTAGAACATTTATATATTTATCATTGAAATCAATGAGTATAAACAAGTAAACATTTCTACTTAATTCAATTCAAACCTCTATTTTACATTTAATTTATAAATCCTCGTTCATTAGTTTATTCCATCTCAAAGCATGATTCTCATGATTTTCATTTCTAAATTCAGTCATTAATGATACAACATTTAAGAAAAACTACAAATAAAAAGAAAAATATAAAATTTTAATAAAATAAGGTTTTAGACACCTACTTGCTCCTCCAATAAACCTAGCTCCTCCTGGTGGTTGCCTGACTCTCAATGTTTCTTTGATTTCAAAAAGGACATATCTCTCAAATCGACTAATCCAAATTCAAGTCAAACCACTATTTATTGACTACAAACATGTTTCATTTTTTTCTAACAATATATTTAACATGAAAATATCATATATTTTATCCACAAATCTCATCTTCATAAAATCCCACAAGCTCGTAACTATTCAAAAATCATATTTAAAACTTTCATTTATAATTTTTGACAAGTAAACACAAAGATTTTAATATACAAAATTAACTATTCTTTTTCAATCATCACCATTTCATTAATACTACATGATTAATCACAATTGATAAAATTTATTACCAATTATCTTATTTCTTCCAAAACTATATACTCGGTTGATCATAAGGTTCATTGCATGATCATGATTCTATCTTTAATTGTTCATGAATTTCCATTAAAATAAGCTAATCTGACTAAATCCAAATAAATCAATAACATAATTTCTCCCCAATATCAAACATATACTCTAATTCACAATATACTAATAAAATCAATTAAATACTTGCAAAGTAATTTAATCCATTTCTAATCATCAATGTCACAGCACATACCTTAATTTCATGTAATGTTTAAACATTTAACTCAAACAAACAACTTCCAATTTAACAACAAACATGGTCGGTCCTTGCCCTCCATTACCAAAATATTTCCTACTTCTTTTTTTCCATAATTTTGCATCCACACAAACTATTTCATCCCATTTGCTTTAATTACACCCAAATTTCAATAATAAACCCTAAATTAAATTTCAAGATTTTTTTTTTTTTAATCAAAACCATTTAAATTTCCCTCCAACTTGGATGGATTGGTTTAAAAAACCTTACCAATTGATTATATGAACTTTGAACGCCTCCTGTCAAGTTTCCACTAATCCTTCTTCTTCTTTCTTCTTTCTTCTTTCTTCTTTCTTCTTTCTTCTTTCTTTTTTCTTTCCTGGTTTCTTTCTCTAAAACCTTACTTTGCTTCTCACTTTAATCACTAACAATTCTTATATTTATGTGTTTAACTTTATTAATCTCATTTATAATGTCTCAAGAGTTTAATTTGCCTAAGAAGTTTAGAGAAAAAGAAGAAGGAAGCCCTTCCTTCTCTTTCATTGCGGCAGGTTAACAAAATTACAGTTTTTCCATTATCTCATGTATCTTTAATTAATTCTAGGTAATTATCCAAGTTTTTGATACTATATTTGAACGAATTTATTTACATTCATCAACTAACCTTAGAACATACACTATTCCCAATTTAAATTATTTATTATTTATTATTTTATTATTTTCTTTCATCTAGAACTTCCATTATAATTGGAGATTTACCGGTTCCACAACTATTATTATTATATTTGTATTTCTTATAATTAAATATTCATTTAAACTTGCTTAAAATACATTCTATTTTTTTATTTTTAATTTGGGGTTTACATTTATTTTTTAGTTTCAATGATACAATATCGATCTAGAACCCTTTTACTAAATCTAACTACTATATCAGACACTCTTTATAATCAAAATAATGATATATTTAATTCTTCGTAATACATGGTATGTTGTGTTATGCTCATATATATTTAGGTTTTTGTTTTTGTTCTTGTTCTATATTGTTCAAAGTTTTTTTTTTTTCTTTATAAGGTATCAAAACATCGTTGTTCAATTCTAAAACATCATTGTTCAATTCTGAAGGAGTTTTTAGAGGTGATATTTCATGTTCAAATACAAATTTAAAATTTGTTGATATTTTTATATGAAAAAACAAATTAAAAATTTGCGAAGTAATTAAATAACCTGAATGTTTTAAATGAAAAAAATAACTTAACTCAGGATCATGGAACTTGCATTTACTAGATGATTTTTCAATTGATTTAAAACATGCAAGGGAATTCCTTAACATAAAAACATGAACTCCTATTTTATTTTTTTTTGGTATTTTCTAGGTTGTTTGGTAATGAAAATTGCAAATTTGCTAGAACTACAAGCATACTATTACAATTCTATTTATTATCGTCTGCCAAATCAGCCTACAAACTATTGTCTAGCCCATAACCTAATATATATCCTCCTTTTTTTATATATAGCCCAAACTTTAAATATGGGATACTTTTGAAGCTTTTATTTTTAGTGCTTGATAAGAATTTTGTATATTCAATGATAGATTACACCAAGGTAGAAGCCCAGCAAATCCATTTGAATGTTCAATAAATGGAAACTTCATTTTCGTTAAAGCATTTGTCAGATACTCAAAGGTAATTACGCTTCGTTTGGATATTAGTAAGATTACATTTTCCAACCGTAAATAAGTAGATTTATTTGAATAAAGGACTATTTTAGACAAAAGAATTCATAAATATTATTATAATGATATAATTATGTGGGAAAAATACATTGTAATTTTATAATATTAAAATTTAAATATTATCATGTGACATTGAATAATTAATCATATAGGTTACACAACCAAAATAACCCCTAGCATGTAATATTTGATCATTTTATTTTTATGATACAATCAAACATACTTAAAGTAAAATGGTGTTAAAATAATGACTACCAACATCCATTGTAACATAAAACACTTCGTCATGGATCATAAGAAAGTTTTCAATTTAGTTTTTAGAAGTACTTTTCTAAATCAACTTAATATATATATATATATATATATAGCAATTTCTAAGTGTTCTTATGTTAACTGTTACCTATTAAACATTGAAATATAATTCAAATTTATGTTCATGATTTTGTCAAAGAAATCAAACAAAGTAAATGTAAACTTTATCTAAAATTATTCAAACATTTTAAGATAATAGCTATGAACAGTTATTTATTTAATAAATAATTGAAAACAACCTATTAGAAATTAGAAAGAAAAAAACAAATACAATAAACTAGTTTAGGATTAAAAAAAAGAACAAACACGTCCACTTGAATTCCAAATATTAGCACAGTAAAGACATTATCAGAATACATGAGTATATCTAAGAATCAGCATCTCCAATGCCTTTTCAATTTATTTTTTTCAGAGAAGAAAAAAGACGAGCGTTATAATCTATACCTTAATATTTAAAGTTTTCCTCGGTTTCGCTCTTCACAAGAATTATTGAAAAACGAAGATTTTTAAGAAAAATACATAATATTCATTAAGTCGTCTCATTCTTGTCAACCAATCGTCTTCTTAATAACCAAACAAACATTTGGGGTCAAACGAGGCAAGAAAGCAAAGAACATGAATACAAGTTTAAAAAACGAAAGCGGCAGTTAATTGGATAGGAACAGAGATGCCAAATTAAGAAATGAAACAGAGATGTCAAATCCTGTGTTCTAAGAAATGAATCCCGGGTGTTCGTTCATCAAAGGGAAATCATTGTTACCCATCTCCGCAAATCACTTGCAGTACAATTACCACCATGTGCGAGGCAATTTTCGCCACCATAATGTTAAAAGCAATGACCATTAATTTGCTTCATGAGGCCTTGCAGACTGCATTTCTCATATATTGATAGATCAAATTTCCTTCAAACGTGTAGAAGATTATGCATTGCCCGTAAGGTCTTCAGAAAATTCAGTCAGTACGGCTTATCAAGGTGGAGAAGCTACTACAAAAGCTTCAGTCCACCTGTGACATCATCAACCACTCCAACAGGTCCTGCACATATTAGTGTTGAGAATAGACCGACTTCGTGCTGTTTTTGGTTCTCAATGTAAAGGAAAAAAGTTGGTGCACCAACAGAGCAAAGATTTTTTTGCCTTGTGTTTTTGGTTTTTTTCTTCCATGACTACAAGTTAACATGACTTCAGTGAAATTTAAGTTTTTTTTACTTTCCTTTACAGTCTCTCAGTGATGTTGGGGTAAAAAAATAATAGTGGCTGTCTGCTAGTAAGCAAAACTACATTGCATTATCTGAATGACACTTCCATTTTGAAGTTTCTGGTGGTATCAAGGGCTAAATAGAAATCATGGATGTTAAACCCACATTTTGAAATGATAATATCGTGATTTTATGAGCTTAATCAGCCAGCCACCTTGGTATCTTAACCAAACTAAAACCACGTTTAAATCAATAGTTCATTCGGTAAGAATATTAGAGAAGTGATTCCTTATCCAATTTAACAATCCCAAGGACCAAACGAGAATAAAAAAGACAATGCCTACCGACAAACTCAAACCACCAATTGAATTAGTAAATAAATCTCAGATGTTCACTGCTTCTCATACTCCTATTCTTAAACAACAGGACATAGCACAACTAATTATAGAATTTATAGGGGGGGAAAGGGAATGGAGGTCTAGAGAAAGGAAGCATGGTTACCAACACTCAGACTCCACCAAATCATTTCTCTTGTTAGTTTTTCAGTCCCATAAGATGCCATTTAAGATATTCTAGAAAATAAGATTTGGAAGCACCCACCAATATCTTAAGTTAATTATATACTGAACTTTGAACTTTGAAGGTTAACAGTGAAGTTCGAGTAAATAACTGTTGACAAGTAAATAAGTTACATTTTCTATTGCTAATGTGGTAAAAGTATATTTACTATTTTTTGCGTATATTCCCATGTTTTCTGAAAGCTAGTTTATGTAGTTTGTATAGTCTTCTATCTAATTTCACGATTTAGTAGGCCATCTTTTGATCTCATGTAAAGTGAATTTAATAAACAAAATACAAATAGATCAAAAACAGACAGATCATAGAATTGATATGGCACAAGCATACTGGAACGGAAACTCTTACCCAGAATAGCCATCACTGTTCTTGAATCTGAAACAACAGAAAAAAATAATTTCAGTCCAAGTTCTGTTGGTGACCAAAGAAAATGCACTCTAAGGTAAATTGGATAGCAAGCTTGTTAGAACAGACATTCTGGTACAAAGAGTTTCAAAGAAGCAAATCAAGCATTTGGAGTAACATCCATAACCAAAAAAATCGAAATGGAAGAAAGATTGGGTTTTCTATGGTTTTCAAGGAAACGTGCTAATCTTATTCATGCTTGTTATTGCACCATTAGAATATAGAAAAACATCCATACTATCAAAATCTCATGTTCATTTGAGAAAAATAACAATTACATGATTAAGAGAACTGCAACTGCTAATATGTTCAATGAGTCAATATGTTACGATCACCTATGCAGTCAAAAATAGGGCTGCCTGTTTGAGTTTCAAGATACTTCTAAGTTTCTAATCCTAATCCATCAACTCCATCAACAATTACTTTCTTGGGAATTTGTAAGGAAAAAACCACATCTCATATGGCTTTGTACTTCAAAAAAATTCGAGCAGTTCCTTGCTTTCTCCTTTTTGAAGAGCCAAACTACTCTTCTGCCTCCACCCTCCATGTTCCACTAACTACAGCTTAAATGCATTTTTCTACAGCCTGTTGTTGGATTCTACAAAACTCATGAATAAACCATTCTGCCTAAAAATTAAAGAAAAGAAAAAACGAAAAACTCCTAGTAAGTTCAATGCCAAAATAATACTCCCCAAGAAAGTGAAATTTTATTAGCAATCATATACCAACATCATGGTCAATCTAAAAAAAACGAATCAGCTTTGCAACCCACTTGGAGCAATCTGTGTTCTTCCTGCATCAATTGTAATATGGGTTGGTAAGTTAAGTGATTTTGCCCTGTCCTGTCAAAGTTGAAAATGAATTCCTTTAGAGTGAACCAGATCAGATAAATGAACAAATTACGGTAAACATAATAAGAACAAATGGGAAGTGCACTAAAAACAGTAAAATAAAAGGGCAAAGTTGAAACATCAGACTTAGAATGAAAAGATAGTCTTAGCCAATGAAGCTTAAAAATTAAAAATAGGCATTATAAGTTGGTTGATCTTTTTACCAATCTAACTAACCTAACAGTGAACACAAATGCAATGGTTGAGAAAAGTCTTGAAAAAGAGAAATTGACTTCAAAGATGAGCTCAGATGTTCAACTGAGATACATACCCAAGAATCTCAAGAGGTACTAGGAAAACTTTCTAAGCTTTTGTTAAGAGTTGATTTTGATACCTGCTTTCTTTTTTAGGGTTCTCATCTGATGCACACACCAACGGCAACTGATATTCAGTTTAATTTGATGAATAGGTCAACAAATATACTACCATGCTGCATATTGGCACAGGTAAAAACTTATGTAGGTATAGTAAATTGGGCTACAACCTGGGAGGGAACAGGTTAAAAATTCGCTGAGTAACTAAACTTGTCATCAAGAGAGATGGCAATTTCAAGTGTCAACAAATATCCCACCAGGCTGCAAAGTTTTAGCAGCTGTGAACATATAAAATTTGACACATGGAATTCATTTGCTATGCATTTATAGACTAGCAATTTAGATGATATCGTCTATTTTTCCTTGAAAAAACAAAAAAGAATACAATCTCATATTATCAATTTGATGATATTAACTGAGATGACAAAAATATTTATGACATACTGACTTGCAAAACAAGCATGTCCTCCTCACTTTCAATTTTCACGACCACCTTTGGCTGAGCACACATCTCCCACCTGCATATTTGCAAAATCCTTGAAACTGAAAGAGGAAGAAGAAGCATGAAAGAGAAAGAAAGGAAGAAAGAAAAGTGAGGAGGAAAAGCATAACTATAAGGCCAAATCATTCAGAATAGTAAGTGCAGTACCTGTTTAAAGCCTTGGGTGCTCGGTGAAGAAGCTTTTTATACAGACCCAAAGTTGCATGACTAAAACCAAGCACAAAAATCAATCAAAAAAAACTAGAAAAGTGTTCATTATTAGAAAATATAACATGCAAGATAAGTGAATGAGGATCGTCTTAATCTATCATTAAATGGGTGGACTGTATGTTCAAAGAAATTAAGTGTTAAGTAAGCAACTATTTACTACAGATGAGAACAGTAATTAAAGTAACAAATGATACTCTGCCTCAGCAAGCAAAAGAAACAGGGAAAGGTGAGATGAGTGGATATGGTGTCTAAAACTGTATTTTAATCCAATAACAATTGTGGTAAAGCAATTGCTAAAAGTAGCCCCTCCAGTCCCTGGGTTCCAACTGCTTCAAAAAATCAATGAGACTGAAATACAGATCTAAATATAAGCCACTAAATCAATAACTTGTCAACTGGATATATAAGCCATGTAGCAGTGCGACATTCATGGTAACAGTCAATTAAGCTGATAAGAGCAGGGATGCAAAGAGGCCGTGAACCACAATATACCCAGTGCAGAAGATCTCTAACCCAAACTTTTGTGCAACTAAATAGTCCTTAAAATATCCAAACTCACTTGCTAAGGTCATGTTTACTTTAGAAAAAAATTCGGTTTTTAAACTCACTTGCTAAATGTCTCAATGTAGTTCTCCATATGATGACAAGCCAATATAAAACAATTTAATAACACATTAAAGCATTACTTGCACTACAGAACCAGGAAGAACTCCGGTTGTTCCCTTGATATAAGTTTACAGAAGGTATTTGGTAGCTGGTTTCAGAAAAATGCACATGGTCAAAAAGCTAGAAAATCAGTCATTAAAGTATTTTTTTAATAACCACATAATCTCTCCATTGTCAAACCTGCAATTAATGAAGTTTCTACAAATGAATTGTTATACAAATGTTGTCAAACTCATATCATAATTAGTTTGGGTCCGCAAAAGAAAGATTGGTCAGCTATCTTACAAGGGTCTGTTTGTATCTCAAAAACTGTTTGTCTATTACACAAAGAAGAAAACAGTCTCTAAACCCAGAAAATAATTCAATCAGGTGTTCAAATCTCAGATAAAACTAGTTTAACATAGCAAATTAGAATGCCATCTTTGAGCCTCTTTAGTCAAAATCTATCTGAATTTAGAAAAATACAAGTAAAGGAGATAACAATTCAGTAAAGATAAAGCAAGATACAGTTCCCTTGTTCCACTGATAGCTAACACAAAGAGAGGGGTCTTGAAGATTAACGAAAGGCAACCTGCATTGAGCTGCAATTTTCCCTTTTCCCATCTTAAGATCGTTTCTAACAACCAAAACCTACATTAAAAAAGAAAAGGTTAAAAGATAAAAGCAAATAAAGAATAATAAAAGGAAAATACATCTTTCAGATGGATAGAACATGCGTTACCATCTTGAAATCATCAAGAATATCAGCAAGCTTATCAGTCTCAAGTGGTTCTTTGGAGTTAATGTTCTTGTTTCCATGATGACTACTAGGGTTAGTATCCGTGTCTCTAACCACTTTTGGTGTTAATCTTAAAAAGAAGCAAAAAGGGCGGCGTGTCCCGATGCAATAACCTAAAGCAAGGCAGCATGCCCCAACTAATATGGCACTAAGCCAGCTCAAATCCATTAGTTCAATTCCTCTACCTGCAATGCAAACCCTAGATTGTTGTTGTTGCTGCTGTTGCTGTTGTTGTATCAAAACTGTAGCCTACAAACAAACAAAAAATGAACAGAATAGCAAGATATAATCACCTGTATAGTTTTTAAAAAAAAAAATCAATTGAGAAGCGCTCTTCTCCTACCTCTGCAATTTAGGTTAAGCCAGGTAGAACACTCTTGACTCTATGTATGGAGTGGTCTTTCGTGTCTTTTATTTTCTCTCTTTTACATGCTGCATCCATATTCCAGACTGAGAACCTTGTCTTTCCTCGGAGAAATGTATTCCATCAGTCGATCATGTACACTCTTCCCCTTTTTCATTCCTCTCTCCTTCTTCCTCACCAACTTTCTTACTTTGAACAATATAGAACAAGAACAAAAACAAAAACTCTTTATAAGGTATCAAAACATCGTTGTTCAATTCTACTGTTTTTTTTTTTTTTGTGATTTGGTGATTTCAATGTTAGGATTTATTTTGTTATGTTAGGGTTCCGTTAAATGTATAATGTTTTTGAGTTTTATAGACCAATCGGGTATGAATTAGATCAGTTATATCTGATTGGTGAGAATTGATAAATGTTGGAAGATATATTAATTAATTATTATTTGAGATTTATTTTCAAATAAATTTATTTAGAACCTACAACAATTATCTCTATCAAATAATTTCAGATCTTGACCATCTAAATGGTGATAAAGTGGTAAAGACTTGGAATTAAGAGGTTTGTTCTTTTGTGGTCTCAGGTTTGAGTCTTTGGTTGCTCATATGATGGCCACTGGAGGTTTATATGGTCGTTAACTTCAGGGCCCGTAGGATTAGTCGTGGTGCGCGCAAACTGACCCGAACAGCCACGTTAATAAAATAAAAAAAAAATAACTTCAGATCTTGAATCCTTGGAAAAGATTATTTGTTCGAAAAGACACTACCATGTAAGCATACGAGTTTTAAGAAAAAAACAAAATTACAAGAATCATAAAGTGCAAGAAATAAAAAAAAGCAAAAAAAAAAAATGGTAAAAGAAAGCAATAAAACCCTATAGGTAAAGGAAGATAAATAAATTACATGAATTTAAAAAATATAGGGTTGACTAGTTTTTCTAATAATTGATATGGCCTATTTATGTTATTATAGTGTTAGAGTTTTACACAAATTTTCAATATAATTCTATATAAATTTATTTATATCATGTAAGAAGATTAAGTGATAAATTTTAATATCAATTCAACTATATCTTATGTTGTTATTGATACTCCCATGAATTTTAAGTAATTTATAACATTGATTAATTTAATTTGTTTGGAAAAAAGTTTCTAAATAAAACTAAATTTTTTGGTTGATTAATAAAATTTTATTGTCGTGATCGATCACTCTTTTTAGTCAATCATGATTCTTAGTCAAGTATAGTCCCTAATTAATTTCACTATAAAAAATTAGTTTCAAAAATTTTTTTTTCCTATTTGGTTGTGAACAAACACTTTTTTTATTTATATGACACAAAAATATTTATTTTTTTATGTAAACAAGATTATTATGGTTCAATTAGTTATAAATTAGATAAATTAATTGCTATTTAAGATTGTTATATGATACCATTGAATTTTGTTATTTTACATAATATGCATTTTAATATGGCATTATTATATAATTATTGTGATACTATTGTAAATGACAACAATAGTATTACTCGAAGGAAGTAGTGTAATTCTAAGTGTTAAATTAGATATTTCACTAGCCAAACTAAAACAAGTCATATATAAAGACAATCAGTGAAAAAGCTATGAAATTAAAGTTGATATTACTTAGAGGATACAAGTTATGAAATGTCCAATTCGTTATGGTATCATGCTCATTTCTTATGACATCAGTTTAAAGCCTATGATTAGGTTGACACTAAATATGGATTGAGTAACAAGGATTTTTACTTGAATAGTAGACCAAAATAAATATACTTCTTCTCTAGTATCGAGCATACTCGAGTCCAAAGTTATATTTAAATGGCTATATAAATATCATATTTTGTTGGCCCATTTAGAATATCAACCACGCCATACTTGTATTGAAATTGCTTTATCAAATCAACCAAGTATGATGTGCTAAATAATAATTTTTATTTAAAACATGCCTGACATGTCAAATGTTTTAGCTAATCATTTTAACTTTAACAACTATATATGCTTTAGCTTTTAAATGTAATTTTAGGTTTCTCAGTTTACTTCTAATTCTTTATTTGTTATAAAAAAAATCCCTAAATCCCTTTTCACGTACTAAAATTTTTTCATTATAAAGATTCAATCCATGAAACCTATACCATATTGTCAGATTTCTTGAAAGACATAAATCACAATGAAAATTATAATTTTAAATTTTTTTAAGAGTCTCATAGATCCTAAAAGACAATCCTGAGGTTTGTGTGAAAATTATCTAAAGATCATTTTTTCTTTTTTTAAGAGTGAAAGATTTTTCGAGGTTAGTTTCTAAAACCCAAGTCATTTAATTATCCACTCTTTAATAGTAATCCACATGAATTACTAAATTAAAAATCTTCTAAACTCTTTTAAGAGAGAGAGATTATTATGTCTTGAATGCTAACTCTTTATTATGTTTTCAAGTATATCTAAAAAGTATGAGGCATAGTTTTCTAATTAAAAAAAAACATATTAACTTTATTAATGGTAAAATATCACTTTTACTCCTAAAAAATATCACATATATTATTTCATGTCTCTTATAAAAATTATACAATCAAGCCCTTACTTGATTTTTTTCTAAGTTCAGATTGTAATTCATTGAATTAATTATATTCTAATTTTTAATTTTTAAAACTTATTTACAATTATGTCATACTTGATATATCATTCTAGTTTTATTTCTTACCAATGATTTTTAATATATATGATTTATTAAGTTCCTAATATATTGACCTAAATATATTATGATTCTAATCAATTTAGGATTAAATTAATTAAACTATTTAACTTATTTTCAATTAAAAAATAATTTATTTATAATTAAATATCAAGTGTAATGTTTAAAAATATGTCACAATCTTCTACATATTTGAAAAGTCATATATGATATAATTAATTTTTTAATGATCAATTTCTTAATATTAATATGAAAGAATAAAACATCGACTGGTCTAGTGTTCTTAGGCAAAAGCTAATGGATCAAAAGAATGGTGGTAATATGAATGATCAGTGTGGTGGTGGCTAGCATTTATTCTTATGCCATTTACCCCTTCTTCACTTTATCTCTTAGACTAATTCTTTTTTTCTTCATCTTGTACAGTTATTGCCAATGTCATCTTGTTAGAGATGACAATGACTAATGACAATGTTGTTCTTGGTAATGGCAAGATAGTGACTGGTCTTTTAGTGAGATTGAATGAGGGTTATTATTTTGGTGTTTTTTCTTTCTCTTGAAGAGGTTATGGGTTTTGGTCCTCTCTTTGTGTTTTTTTTTTTCTTAAGAAATAGTGTTTTAATGTGTATGTAATGTTGGTGTGTGCACAGAATGATACGAAGAGTGCTTTTTATATAGGGTCTTTTTTGTGGCTAATGCTCTCTCTAATCTCTCCCCTTTATATATATAATCATTTATTTATACTACTTGAAATATTATTTTCATATTAAATTTTTAAAATTGTCCAAATCCATCTACTATTTTCTTAATTTCTCCACAAACTCCTCCTTCTAGTTTTTATTTTTTAAAAAAAAATCTCTCTTTTTTAAAACAACATTATACAATTCAAAACTTTTTTTAAAAAAATAAAATTAGGCCTTACTATTTTTAATTAAATTTTAATCACTAAAAATTTTCTATTTTGTTTAATTGATTTTTTTCTTTTTTCTTCTTTTTTTAAAAAAATTATCATTACAAAAACAATAAGTAAAAAAGGTAAAAAAATATGAATTGACCAAAAATCGATAATCACATTGAAAACATGTTTTTTTTAGAGTTTTGGTACATTTTGTATTTTTTTGCATTTTTTTTTCTTTTAAAGAGTCAAAATTTAGGTTATTACAATACTAAAATTGCTACCATTTTTAATTTTGCTAGATAGGAGAATGATTATGGAAACTCTATCATTGATAAGATAGAAATGACTAAGAAATTTAAATAAACTATCAGTATCTAAAGAAAATTATCGTATAAAAAATTAGGATTAATTATTTCAAGAACATGTAAAATGGAATATAATTTTATAGAATGTTGAGGTATATGAATTAAACTATAGCCTAAATGTAAGATATTAAGTTTTGTTTTATCATCGTCTATTTTAAGTTGTTCAAAGCTAATGTAGAACTCTATATGAACGTGTCTAATAATGTCTAGCATGACATGATTTGTTCAAGATACCATGATTTGTCATAATTCAAAGAGAGTGACAATTTGAAATAGTGTTGTCCAAAAATGAGAGGTCTAAAATTAAAGAGGCCGAATAATTTTTCTTAGAAAAAAAACCAAAATCTAAAAAATAAAGGTAACATGGCAAGGCTTATGATTATAGCTATCACATATTTGGCTTTAGATTTTGGTGCCTTACCATGGTTGATTCCATTCTAATTCATTTATTTGGCTAAAAATTTCTTTTTGGTGATCTTGTTAATTTCTACCACATCCGTTATTGAAAAGATGACTAAAAAAAATTGAAGTTAAAATTGTTACCTCTATCAATGGAAGTGAACTATCTAACAATGTTGACCGAAAAGATAATTACATCATCAACAAATATGGATCTAATAAAGAGCTTACAAAAGTCATTTTTATATAAAAATTTATAACTTATGAGGAAGCTATGCAATTTCATGAAGGTAATAGGTTTGGATATAGCTATTAAGTTCTTGAACTCTGATAATAGATCTTTCAATATATATATATATAAGTTAAAGTTTGTGAGATTGAGTGACTTATTAATTATTATCAATTCATCATTATATGCTTTTCCACAATGTAGATAAGCTGAAATTGATTCTTCAAATACTTGTTACAAGTCAAAAATGGCTAGAGTGAAAGACATAACTCAAGTTATTAATGAAAAGGCTAGAGTTGATTCTAGGGTTGTTCAAATAGAGCGAGAGGTTTGATAATCAATCATATGAAATTATACATCGATAGAAAAATATATAATTAAAGTGCTTATTACTAATTGATCATATTGAATATAGTGTAAATAATTCAAGTTTGGTATGGTGATGAATACATTCTTTATAGTAAGAGGGTTACGAACATGGCTTTAATTCATCAATAAAGATACACAAGCATTGCCTAATAAAAACCGGCTTGAATCACACCTTCTAAAACAACTAGTTTCCATTCATTAGTTCTAGAAAGATATAATGATAAGTATTTTGCAATGATAATAATGAGAATATTGTTGTAGTTTGTTGGCTAGTTAAGAGGAAAAAAAGTACATTGTTTTCTTGATTATTAAAAATACAAGAGAGATTATTTATGAAAGTTATTATTTCTATTAAGGAAAGGCTCTCATAGCATATAAAATTAACAAAATAAAAAAAAGGTGATAGAAAAGAAAAAAGAGAACTCAATAATTTTTTTTTTCTCATTCTTGATATATTAGAAATGTGCGCACATGTATCTTAGTAAAAAGAATATAAAATAAAAAAAATATCTCAAATTAAAATAAAAAAGATATAAAATTTGAGAAATATATCTTTTTATATGGTTAGGAAGCTTCTTGGGCTTTAGGACTCTAACAGTGACAAGCTTTAAATTTGATAGAGTTTTACTGATTTCCCAAAAAAAAAAAAGGATGAACCTGGCTGGCGAAGTTCCATGAAAAATAATGTAAACGGCTACAGCATATCAATTCTCATACAAACCAAAAGAGGGGCAAGGAAAAATAAAATAAAATTCTAAACTCGAAACGACGATGCTGCTTCCCAAAGTTTGAATTGTGGAAGGAGACAGGTCAAAAACCCGTGTAACAAGCCAGCAAGAAAGCAACATATTTAATAATGAAGCCAATAAAATTCTTTAAATATAACTTGGACCGCTACGACATCTATGACTATGGGATTAATCGTGATGTTTATAAGCTCATCCAAATATTCCATGTAAATTAAAAAAAATAAAAAAATCTAATTCCAAACAAACAGTGAAAGATAATATTTATTTATTTTCTTACCTTCTCTATATTTAATAAATAAATTAAAAAATTGATTGAAAAAGGATATGAAAGGGATGGTACAGACTAATTAATTATTTTTTTAAAAGTAAAAGGACTATTTAAGCAGTTTCTCAAAAATATAAAGGGACTAATTTATAACTTATTCGTGAATGTAAGAAGTACGAACGAAAAATAAAATAACGGAAACATTACTCTATAAGAAACTGGAACAGCTCCCAAGAAAAATCATCATCGTCAAGTCTTTACGGACTCCGACTCAACAACAACAAACTGCTAAGGTTATTTATCTTCTTATTTTTCTTAAAAGTGAACGATAAAGTGGCTTTTTTTATCAGATTGTTGTCGTTAATTTGATCTGATCATGTCTAAGAAGAAGAGACGGTTTTTTTTTCTTTAAAGGACGATAGTTTTGTGATTTGTGAGTGTTTTTGGGGTTTTAACACACACACGCAAAGACTAAGATTGACCTAGAAAACAGCATTCAGTGGTTTTCTTGTGACTTTGTTTTTCTTTATTTTTGATATCGGGGTTTTGGGATTTTGGATCAATAGGTTGGCTTTCGGAGATTAAGGAATTTTGGGTTTGTAGAATTGTAGTTATGAGTTTTGAATTTTAGGTTTTGTAATATGCTAAGATTGACACACACACACACACACACACACACAAAGACTAAGATTGACCCAGAAAACAGCATTCAGTGAATTTTAGGTTTTGTAATATCCTCAGCTCATCAATTTAAGTAGCAGAATTTTGAGGGTTTTTTGGATTTTTTTAGTCTTCTATCTTTGTGTGGTTTAGGAAGAACGAGAAATTCTGAATTTTGATCAACTATGAAAGATAGTTGAGTTGACTTTGCTCAATTTTTTGTTCTAATATTCTCTAATTAGATTTTGTTTTTTCAAGGAAAAAAATTAGGGCTAAAAAGGGAAGTTAAATTTGAATCTTTTTCTGTCTCCCGTCACTTCAGAATGTGAAAAACTCACTTTTCTTTTCCCTTTTGTTCTCAGCTATGAGACATAGCATGATTTTGTTCTGATTTATGTTGGTTATTGGCTTTTCAGGGCAACAATTTGAAGATTTGGTAGTAGGATTTCAAAAAGGCTGTGAAGATGAGTGACAATTTGATGGAGAAGGTCAGTGCTTTTGGTGAACTCCTCAAGACTGGAGGTGCCGAGGTGGGTCGAAAGATGAGCGCAGGCATGAGCTCAATGAGCTTCAAGGTGAAGGAGCTATTACAAGGTCCTAACCAAGAAGATAAACTTGTTGAGGATGCCACAGCTGAGACGCTTGATGAGCCTGATTGGGCCATGAATCTTGATATCTGTGATATGATCAATCATGAAAAAGTTAGTAGTGTTGAATTGATTCGTGGAATAAAGAAGAGGATCATGATAAAAAATGCTAGGGTACAGTATTTAGCTTTAATGTTGCTTGAAACATGTGCTAAGAATTGTGAGAAAGCTTTCTCAGAGGTGGCAGCTGAGAGGGTTCTTGATGAAATGGTGAAGTTGATTGATGATCCTCAGACTGCTGTCAATAATAGGAATAAAGCTTTGATGCTCATTGAAGCATGGGGAGAGTCATCTAGTGAGCTGCGTTATTTACCTGTTTATGAAGAAACATACAAGGTATTCCTTATTTTTGTTTCTTAGTGATCTCACTTTTTGAATGTTTGCCTTAAGAAACTGGGTTAAGAAAAGGAACATGCTATTTTCAATTACCTTATGGCTTGTTTTCAAGGGAATATTATCCTGAGTTTAATGCAAATATCTGTCTCAAGTTCAGCTATGCGATCCCTTTTTCTCTCTGTCCTATTAGCTCCTATTACTGGATCAAATTGGATTTTGGTTTGTATTTGGTTTTCAGCCTTCTTATAGTGTAAAGCCTAAAGTCTTCTCTGCTTGATGAAATGTGATTCTTAGCCCATACAATCTTGATTGAAAGGGAGTCATACTATCAAAATCACTTCGATCAAGTTGGCTGGGTAAATATGTAAAAATGCGCCATAGAAGTTAAATGAAGTGTTCCTTATTTATATACTTTTTTGGGTTCATCAGGAGACCCGCTGGGCCTTCTTGGGCTGTACAATGGGTAGCCCACCTCCATTACATAATAACCAAATAAACTGGAGTTATTAGGACTCTTAACTTTCTTTGCTGAAGGAAACTATGGGGTATGCAACTGCTAGGCTGTGCTTGCTTGTGTTTTCCATATTTAAATTTGAGAAAGCATTTGTTTGCTTTGAATATCTGTGGAAATAAATTGTCTTGTAAGAAAATTATGCAAGTTCTTTATTGTGCAGTGTTGCTATAGAAGATATATCCATGCAATAATTTGACTCATGCAGATTTATGATTTGTCAAACCATTATTGTTTCTTGACCGTTTCTTATGTTTCTGAAGAGTTTAAAATCAAGGGGTATCCGATTCCCTGGTCGTGACAATGAGAGTTTAGTGCCTATCTTCACCCCACCTCGTTCTGTGTCGGCTCCAGAAGTGGATGCTAGTCTTACACATCAGATTCAGCATGATATTCCTCTGCAAAGCTTTACAGCTGAACAGACAAAGGAAGCATTTGATGTGGCAAGAAACAGCATAGAGCTTCTCATGACAGTATTGTCCTCTTCACCTCAACAAGATGCATTACAGGTATTTCTAATCTCGCAAGTTCTCGATCTTCAATTAATTTGATGTGGATGTATTGATTTTGATTAGATAAAAAAATTGGTGTTGTTGTTATTTTCGGTTATATGCAGATATGACCTTTTTTTACCCTTATTATTCCATGGTGAAGGCATCACATTATAATCTTATTTTATATTATTTGGGACATGCATAAAATTTTCCTTTTTAAGAAAAATAGTGAAAACTTTTAATATAGAAAAAAAAAAGTAGAAATCAGAATCCTATCTAAAAATTCTTTTTTTATTGTTTTAATTGACCCCTCAAGTCAAATCAATCAGTGGTGCTTATTTCAATGCCATCCCTGATGACTCAAGTCCACTAAAAGAATTCCAAGTGTCACAATTAAAATGAATACTTCCATTATTCATTTATAAGACACTAAAAACTGATAGAATGTAAACCTTTTAACATTGCAATTCTATCAGTGATTTTAACAATTCCAAATTCTGACTTCATAAATAGTGATTTTGCTTCAATCATGACTCAATTTTATGAGCATGCCAAGTTTTATTGTTTCCAGAACCTTGTTAAACTGCCCACGAATCATTGATCAAAGAGTGTTTGGTGGCTTCCCATGTGTCCAGAAAATGGATGAGAAAAAAAATTATTCGGCAGAATTTCACCTTAAAACTGAACATTCCTAAGCTATTTCAAGAACAGTCATCCTGCTTAAAAGAATACTACTATGCTTTTCTCATACCAAAGCTTCAATATAACCCCATGTGTCAACTCCATCATGCGATACCATGCAACTATCAAATTATACATGCATGATTCAAGATACATCATGTATATCGTTAGAAAAAGGTATGTGCATATATTTGAAGTTCTAATTGATTAACATTTTTCATTTGCATTAAATCAGTGCCGCTGAATTGGTATACGTTTAGGGATTCTTAGGAGTTGGTGGGAGGGATGGCAGCATGCATATGTGAGTTCTGATTATCTGATGATTATTATTTTTAAAGATCATGCATAAAAGTGATTAGTTTTGGGTCTTTTGGCTGTAGATGTTGATGTCTTTGTCCAGGGTCAGCTGTGAAAATGATTGTTTCCAGTGCAGTCATATTATGACTGTTTACTATGTCCAATTAATCATTCTAGATAAACGAGTGGAAATAGGCTTTTTCAAGTTAATACTTCTTCTTTTTCTTTCCAAGAACATGAAGGCATGAAATCGATTCAAATTTTAGTTTGTTTGAATTTTGGGGAATCATGCTGTACTACTGTTTATGTAAATGATGTGAAAAAAACAAAACTCATCCTCAACAATTAAGATAAGGTGTCTTACTAGTACAAATAATGGTTTGATTAGCGGTGGATTTTGAACAAAATTCTAGGAGGTGCAAATATGGCTAAATATAGGGGCTGTATCAGCACTCAATTCTTTTCATGTCAATTTCAGAGCGATGAATTTAATTTGGTCAAAACTCAAATAAAATTAATAGGTTAAATTTCAATATATTTTAGTTTAATATTAATGATCTAGAACATTGAGCACCGTGTACAAATATTACTTGAAAACTGTGTGAAAGAGGAAAAATATTTTGACTCTTTTTAACCATGTGTTTTTCTTTTCCTTGAAAATGATATTTTTATGTATGAGGGAAAG